GACTTTGGGATGGGAGAGTTCAGCGAGGCAGACGTGGAGTCCTTCCCAACAATAATAACAATCCACAGCTTCTTGCATGCTGTAGTAGCTCCTTATGTAACCAGCTTTCTGAATATATTCTGTCGGAAGCAACCCATGTACTCTACTCAACAATTATTCTTGTTTAAACATCATCATTTACCATATCAACTTAAATCAGATCTACATGTTGGGTTTGCAGCAATTTGCACTCTACTGAGCAGACTTTGCATGATAGCGCAGCAATAAAGCTAAGATTGTGCTTAATACAATTTGTCTTAGGAATCTTTTTCAAGTAGTACAAACATTTCTTTTTCTTTTCTTTTAATTTTCTAATTGCATTTTTAAAACTTAAGTGAGTATAATTTAAAATGTGGATTTAAATTGGGCTAGACCCTTGTGAAATAAAGGCTATAGACTAAATTAAGTGAATACTTCTAAGATGGTCTCCCGCAATAGTTTATGAAGTGCTATGAAACTTTGTTATAGGCTATCATTCACAACTCCTGAATCAGACTGTTCATGTTCATCAAAACCTCCCCATTGACAGAAATACATGATGATGCACATTATACACCATTGCAGATGGTGCAGCTTTGAGAAATGTAATTGGAGGCAAGAGGAGAGAACATTTCAAGTGCAAATAACATTAGGAAGGCAAAAAAAGTGCAAAAGCATATTGGAAGTTCGTTAGAATCATGTAGCAATTGACTGAGGAACTGGAGAAGCTGAGAGAAGATATAGACTTTGTTTTGTTTTGTTTTGTTTTGCTTTGCTTTGCTTTTCAGTCTTGCTGTGACAACCATGATTAACAACTACATATGACAGTGAGTGAGAATGTATATGAATAGCACAGAGAAAATCACAGGAGTTTAAATGCAGCCACATCCACAAGCATTCACTCCCTCCACCACTGACGTTCAGTAGCAGCAGTGTGTTCTATCTACAAGATGCACTGCAGAAATTCACCAAAGATCCTCAGACAGTACCTTCCAAACCCACGACCACTTCCATCTAGAAGAACAAGGGTAGCAGATATGTGGGAACACCACCACTTCCAAATTCCCCTCCAATTCACTCACCATCCTGACTTGGAAATATATCGCAGTTCCTTCACTGTCACTGGGTCAAAATCCTGGAATTCTCTCCTTGATGACATTGTGGGTCAACCCACAGCAGGAGGACTGCAGCAGTTCAAGAAGGCAGCTCACTGCCACCTTCTCAAAAGCAGCTAGAGATAGGCAAGAAATGCTGTCCAGCCAGCAACATCCACATCTCACAAAATGAATAATAAAAAAAAAAGCCCAACCAGTTCATGTTGATGTTTAATCTCTGTACAGGTATTTCTAATTACCTGCCCTGAATTCGACACAAGCTAATTTTATTGCATTGGTGCAAGGGGAGAGATCTAGAGTTTTAATGACCTTTGTTCAAAATTGTGACAACTGATCCTTTGTATAAGCCAGTACAATACATTTCAGGGTGTATGGCTCGTTTGATTTGGATTTTTGTGAACAATTTATTATTTAAAACTCAATTATTGTAGTGACTACTAAATAAAGAGAAGGTCAAACAAAAATTAGTTTCTCACTATCTGCTATCCCCGGAAAGTGACCTGTATTTTCTGCCCAAAGCACTAATTTGCAGAGCTACATTTACAAGTGGTTTCAAGTGCAGAAAGTTAATTACTATAGGCTGCCAACTAGAATCTACATAGCTGATCTTGAACCTGAAGCGAATATTACTTGCTGACTACATTCTTTGGAATGTTTAAGTTGCAAGAAAGGAAAAGGAGCTTAATAAGCACAATGCAAAAAGTATTGTCTTGTTGCAGTACCCTTCACATCACTCTTAAGAAACCAGTAACCCTGGAAATTTGGGAGAATTTCTGTGGATGTAAGAGATCACCTCTTTGATTAACTGCCAGAACTTTAAGGAAGTATTTGTTATACCATCAAGCCTCCAGGAGGTTTTACCAGTTATTCCATTCCTGAATAAACATATCTTGCCAAGACCAGTAATATAGCATTGTAGTTGATCTGTGACCAAGGTGGGGAAAATTTAAGCCAGTTTTCCTGTTGATGTCAAGCACCTTGTGAACTTTTGGAGTGTGAGTGGTGAATTTCAATCAAGGACAGGTTCAGATATGGATGTTACATCATTAATTATCTTGATGTTACTTGTTGCCTTGCTAAAGTGGCCATTTGAGCAAAGAACAAGAGGATTGTTATCTGAAGCGCCATATCTAAATTTAGAACCCTTTTTCAGGAAAGAAAGGAAGAAAAGGCAACACATTTCTTCATAATATTTTAGACATTCCCAATTTACTGAAAACTGAAGAGTAGATAAAGAGAAAATTCCCATTGCAAGAAATGTTCAATACTGGAGGAAACTGATTTTAAGGTGATTGACAAGACAATTAGGGGGTGACATAAACAATTTTTTAAAATCCCCAACAGTAAGGATCAGGAATGCATTGCCTGAGATTGTGATGGAAACAGATTCAGTGGTGACTTTCCAAATTAAATTAGGTGACTATTTAAGGAAAAATTATTTGCAGGGTTCTGGTGGAAAGATGAAGGAGTAAAAACAGCTGATTTTCCCTCAGGACCATCGTGGACAAGATGGGATGAATGGCTGCCTCTGCTGTAACCATTCTTAATGCTACTGTGCTCCTGCCATATGCCTTACCTTCCATGGCCAATCAAACTTCATTCCTCCTTTTTGATTATACAAATATGTTGAATTTCCATCACACATCTTTCATCATTTTAACTCCTTTTCCAGATCAGGCCTAATGCTTCAATTGCATTTGTGAATGCCACTTGTTACAACTTACTGGGGTAGTGCATCATAAATTAAGCCTCACTATTCTCGAATTTGTACCAAATGTTAAAGTTTATTTTTTTTAAGTACACATAGTACCCCAGTTTAGCTGACTTTCAGACCAAAATTGATAGAAAGCACAGACGAGGGTTTATGTACTAGCCAAAAATTATTATTTATTGTAAGCAACTAGACTGTAGCTACAAGTAAGCAGGTACAAACCATTGGCATATAACACTAGTAACCACAGTTCTAATCCCTTTATAAATTTCCCCCATTCCCAACACAAACGCATGTGTATGCATGCACACAAATATGCACAAAAAAATAGGGAAAGTAGATTATTGGCAGAGGTACAAAATTGGAACGTCAGACCAATGGACTTTGCTTGCCAGCTCTGATGTTGAGCTTTGGCTAGTTAGGCACTTGGTATTGTATTGTTTATCTCTTAACAAAGTTTTCATAGTTTGTAAGAGGCACAGAGTGGACAGTTCACTTGTAAAATGACTCTGATATATCGCTGCGAAAACCATAGCTCACAGCAACTACTGTAAGGTCATGGGTTCTTCAAGTTTTATCTGAGTTTTTTTCCTGCAGAAACCGGGCACCTACTGTTGGGGAAACACAACTGCCTCTGAGGCATCAACATAACTGCTGCTATCCTCTCCACAACTCCTTAATTTTCTCCTCATCTCTCCATTAGCAATTCTATCTTCCCTAACACTCAATCTAACCTCATCCACTGTCCTGCATCTTCTGCTGCACACAGAATATTTTACAATTCAGATATAATCAAACATGACTGCATGTGCTGTAAGAGCAAATCTTTCACTGAAAATGCCATAACTTAACTTGCATCTTCTGATTCTCCACTGTTGGGCCTGCACCAGTGTAAACACAAACTGTTTCAAGAACATTAATATGACTTTTTTTAATATCCATATTAAATATATATCCAACTATCAGTTACACTATATAAATTCAGTTCAGTGCACGTGTTATATAAAACCATTTACTCACGAGTAAAATTAATGAAAACAGTATCTTGGGCTTTATTAATAGCAGCAAAAAGAACAGAAACAAGGAGGATATGTTGAACTTGTACAAGATACTAGTTTCGCCTCAGCCAAAGTACTGAGTTCAGTCCTGGCTGCCAATCTTTAGGAAGAATGTGAAGAGGGTGCAGCAAAAATTTGGGAGAATGATTCCAGGAATGACTAACTTCAGTTCTGAAGTTGCATCGGCAAAGTTGAGACCGTTTTCCTTGAAGACATGAAGCTGAGACGAGATTTTGTTTTGAAGTATTTAAAATTATGAGGGGTCTGGAGAAGTTAGACAGAGACAAACTGCTTTACTCATGAAAGGATTGAGAATAAGAGGTCCAGGATTAAAAATAATAGGTTAAAAAAAAAAGGTGAATGAGCAGCAAAATCAGAAATTGCTGGAAAAACTCAACAGCATCTATGAAGAGAAAGCAGAGTTAATGTTTCGGGTCCAGTGCCACTTCTTCAGAACTGTTTTGTTTTGTGAAATGAGAAACCACTAGCTTCATGCCATTAATTTGTGGAGTGGACTGCCTGAGTGTGGTGAAGATCGGTTCAGTCAAAGCTTTCAAAATGGAACTAGGCTGTTAAGCTGAAAAGGAAGAAAGTATTGGCTTGTAAAGAGAAGGCAAGAAACTGGCACTCTGACATTCATTCTAATTCCATTCACTTTATTCATTAAGACACATAGAATAGAAGTTTAAAAGTAGCGCTCATATATTAACAGAATATTTAAAACCTAATTATTCAATCAGTAGTAGACATTGTGTGGAATAAAACAGCATATCCTCTGACACACTTTTAATAATGCTATGAGAAATCGTATTAAAAGAAATTTGGTATCAGCTAACTAATTGCATGACCAGTGGCTGATTTGTTTTGGATTATTGTTGGATTTTAAAGATGTGCAGACACATAACATAATTTTAAAAGGACATTTAAAAACCAAGGCACTGAGGAAAGCCCAAAAAATGGTATTTTAAACATTGTCCCTGTTGAAATTGTAGTTTGTAAAATATCAGTCTTCTCTGATCCCTTTAAGAGTGCAGGTGACTTTTTTTAATAGCAAAATAAATTCCATCAAGTCTCTCATTTTTCATTTTTCTCTTTCAGGGATCGTGTTGTGGCTGTTTTCGTACAAGGAGCTGCTTGGCAGTTCAAGGGATGGCCATGGTTATTACCTGATGGATCACCTGTGGATATTTTCGCAAAAAGTAATTTTTCTACTTTTATGTAAGAACATAAATACAAATGAAAGTAGACCATGTGCCCTGTCAAGCCTATTTTATTGTTCAGTCAGATAATGGTTGATCTTCTATTTGAACTCCAAGTTTCTGCCTGATCCTTATATCCCTTGATTAGTATCCAGAATTCTATCCATTCCTGCCTTGAAGATACACAATAAGTGAGCATTCAAACTTTCACAAAATCTGACTAAGGAATATTTCCTTGGCTCTGTTAAAAACAGCCAACTTCTTATCCTAAGATTGACCCTTGGTCCCAGACTCTCCAAACACGTAAAGCATCCTCTCAGAATATTATATTTCAATCAAATTGCCTTTCGTTTTGGCAAATCTCAGAAATAGGCCTATTTTACCAAATCTCTCTTCCCAGGACAGTGCATCTGATTAAAAAATGTTGCATCCCTGCAAAGAGAAGTATGTAATAATTTCTGTCATCCAAAACTACAAACCAGCTTGTTCTAGTAACAGGATTTTTATTTTGACTGGAGATGGCTTACGTTCCTCATAAAAACACTTGTTGCTGAGTGATTATGTTCACTGCTCTCCGTCGGTCTCATTGTCTCTCAATCACTAATAATTGTGAAACTCCTGGATGGTTGTTATTGACAGACAGCCACCCCGCCCTTGTAATAGTTTGTCTTTCATTGTTGTACCTATTTCCTGGGTATGACTTTCTAGATTTCTGCGCTCCTTTTGTGAAACATTAACATCTACATCAACATAAGACCACCCAGGAGCTTTCTGATAAAATGAAAACATGGAACTTATAATTCAAACCTTTATAATATAGGTTAATGTACTATTTGCCTTGGTATTCATTTGCTGCAGCAGCATGTTCGCTTTCTGTGATCTGTGAACAAGGTTCTTTATCTGAATGCATAAAGCATTTGCAACGATACAGCTGAATTAGCACGGAGAAAGATAAATGTTTTAGATCGCATCTTCATTACAAAGACATGGTCTCTGGGAAATAAATATTCCACCATACAAACCATTTTGAAAAATCAGACTGAATGGAGAAGACCAAGTCATATTCCTGGTAGTAAAGAGTGACCCAAAGTCAAAAGGGAGTAAGACTTTTACCTCAGAAGATCAAGAAGTGATATTAATTGAGAAAACAATGGCCAGAAAAGCCTAATCAGGGTAGATGATAGGCCCACAATTGTAGTTGTACCTTTGGACAAAATATTATGCAAGTAAAAATTAGAGCTTGTAGTAAAGGCAATTTAAAACTATAAATGACTTTAATCTTCATAGGTTGGACAAATCAAGTTGGCAAAGATGGTTCAGAAGATGAGCTTATACAATGCTTTTACAAATGTCTTGGAACAATCTAATACAGAGCTAACAAGAGACACAACTATTTTAGATCTCATTGTCTAATGAGGCAAGTTTAATTATTAATCTTATAGTAAAACCTCCTTTAGGAAAATGTGATCATAATACAATTAATTCCATATTACATTTGAAAGCAACTTATTCCAGTTTCAAACAAGAATCTTAACCAAAACCAATTGTGTTAGTATAAGAGGAGAGCTGAACAAGAGACAAAAAAAACTGCAGATGCTGGAATCCAAGCTAGACAAACAGCAGGTTGGACGAACACAGCAAGCCAGGCAGCATCTGAAGGAAAGGAGCAGTCAACATTTAGGATATAACCCTTCTTCAGGACTGGATGTGGGGGTAGGGGGAGCTGCAGATAAAGAGAGGGGAGGGGGGGGTCTAGCAGAATGGTGATGATAGGTGAACGCTGGTAGTAGGTATGACCTGTATGGTCAATGGTAGGGATGAATCTGGTTGGTGGTTGGAAGGGAGGAGATGGGGCTGGAAAGGGAGCCTGGGGATGGGTGGGAAGGTTATTTGAAATTGGAGAACTCCGTATTGAGTCATCCGGGCTGTAGGGTGCCCAAGCAGAAGATAAGGTGTTCTTCAAATCTGCATTCCAAGTCACTGCGACACTGGAGGAGGCCGAGGACGGACGTGTCGTTGGGGGAGTCAGTGGGGGGGGGGTGGGGGCGTTAAAATGGGCAGTAACCAGGTGGTTAGGTTGACTGTTACGGGCCAGATGAAAATGCTCGGTGAAACGGTACCTAGTCTACGTTTGGTCTCACCGATGTAGAGAAGACCACGTCGGGAGCACCGGATGCAATAGACTAGGGTTTGGAAACGATGTATGTGGAGCTGTGTCTCACCTGGAAGGGCTGTTTAGGGCCCTAAATGGAGGTGAGGGAGGTGGTGTGTGGGCAGGTTTTGCATCTTTTACAGTTATAGGGGAAAGGTACTGGGCAGGTTGGAGTGGATAGTGGGGAGTGTGGCACGAACTAAGGAGTGGCAAAAGGAATGGTCTTTGCGGAAGACAGAGAGGGGTGAGGAATGAAGATGTACCGCGTGGTGGGATCTGATTGGAGTTGGCAGAAGTGTTTGAGGATGATACGTTGGATGCTGAGGTTGATGGGTTGGAAAGTGAGGACAAGGGAGATCCTATCTTTATTATGTTTGGGTTGGGGGGGGTTAAGAGCTGTGGCAGGGGAAATGGAGGCGGCTTGGTAGAGGGCTGTTTGGATGACAGAGGGGTGAAAGAGCATTGTTTGAAAAAGGCAGACATCCGGGATGCTTGGAAGTGGAACATCTCCTTGTCAGAGCAGAAGCGATAGAGACGAATTGGGAAAACGGGATGGAATTTTTGCAGGGTACAGAGTGGGAGGAAGTGTAGTCTGGGTTGATTTATTTAAGTGAACCAATTCAAAGGAATGGTTCACTAATAAACAGTCAGAAATATTTAATAAAAATATTCAAAATGTTTAATAAAGTACATTACACTTTTTAAAAAAAACTAAGAAAGACCCTGTGGCTTATTAGAGAAGCTAGGGATAGTATTGAGTTAAAAGAAGAAGTATATAATTTTGCAAATAATCTTAGAAGACCCCAGGATTGGAACTATTTTGAAAATAGCAAAAGTGACCGAAAAGTTGATTTTTTTGAAAAAACGGAAAAGTAGAATATGGGAGTAAACTGAACAGGAATATAAAAACAAAAGTATAATGTGTTTACTATTACAGTAAAGTGATTAAAGAAAACATTTAATAGTAGATGCAGAAAACAGAAGGAAGGACAGGCTGGAGGGGTGCAAATGGCAAAGATTTTATCTCCCTTTTTAGCACAAATTAAATACTGAAGAAGGCACAAAGGAGTTAAAACCTTACGGTAACTAACATCAGCAGAGAAATAATATAGAGATTTTTAATGTGCTTCTGTGAGATGTAGACCTTGAACATTTATTGCCCATCCTGAATTGCCTTTGCAACATAGTAGCTTGCTTGGCCATTTCAGTGGACAGTTACCGGTAAACCACATTGTAGGTCCAAGTCACATTTCGGCCAGATCAGGTAAGGACGGCTTGCTTCTCATAGGTCGTTAGTGAAAGAGTTTTGTAATAACTGATAATAGTTTTGTTGTCACCATTATTGAGATTAGCTCTAAATTCGTGATTAATCAAATTTAAATTGCACCAGCTGTCATGCTGTGATACGAACTCATGTCCCAAAAATATGAGCCTGGGCCTCTGGATTACTAGTCCAATGACATTACCACTACACCACCATCTGCCCTGAAGACGACAAATGCAGGACCTGATTGCCCACATCCTAGAGTTTTAAAAGAGGTAGCTGCAAAGATAGTGAATGCATTGATTAAGATTTTTTACATGTTCCCAGATTCCAGCAGTATTCGGCAGTTAGCAAAAGTAACACTGCTATTGAAGAAAGAAGGGAAAGAAAGATTAGACAAAACAGAGAACTAGAGGCTCATTAGCCTGACACCAGTCTATCATTAAGGAAGTCTTAACAATGCATCTGGAAAACCATAGTATGATCCATTTTATTTTTACAAAAGGCAAGTCATGTTTGACAATAGAGACATGGACCGAGAAGATGTTGTATATTGGATTTCTAAAAGGCATTCAATAATGTACCACAAACAATTATACTCAAAGCCAAAAGTTTCATGTTGGTAATTTGTATCTAATGGAATGGCATAAGGATCTGTGCTGAGACCTCAGCTATTTGCAAAGTTCAATGAATGACTCACAATAAAACAGAGAATTCCATCTAAGTTCACTGATGAAAGAAAGCAGAGGTGCACCCGTAAATGGAAAGATATGTATAAAGTTTGGTAAAGTCAGTAGGCAGCAAGGATATAAGTGCAATGTAATGTGTGGAATATGAGGTTATTCACTCTGGTAGTCGGAAAAGAGACTGTCTTTTTCAAAAAAAAAGTATGAAACTAGATTGATACTGAGAGACTTGGATGTACTCCAAATAAAAACACAGTACGCTAGCATTCATGTACAGTGTGCACTCAAGAAGGCAAATGAAATATATTGGCCATAATTGCAAGGGGATTGGACACAAGAGTAAGGAAGGCTTGCCACAAGCGAGGTGATGGTCTAATAGTATTATCACTCAACCATTAATGCTGAAAGTCAGGTAAGGTTCTGGTGATCTGGGTAGGAATCCTGCCATGGCAGACAGTGGAATTTGAGTTCAGTAAAAAAACAAAATCTGGAATGAAGAGACTAATGATGGCTATTAAACCATTGTTGATTGTCCAAAATACCCATCTATTTCAATGATGTCCTTTTGGGAAGGAAACTGCTGTCCTTGTCTGACCTACCTATGACTCCAGACCGTATTTAACTTTTAACTGCCCTCTAGGCGATTGGGGATGAGCAATAAGTATTGGCCTAGCCACTGAGGCCCACATCTCATGAATGAATTTTTTAAAAAAAATCATTCTGTATTACTTTGATGAGGTCACGCCTGGAGTAGTGTGCACAGTTTTGGTCTCTATCTTTAAGCAAAGATCTGGTTGCAGGCAATGCAGTTTGCTAGATTAGTTTTTGGTATGAGAGGCTATTTATATTGGGCATATTCTGGTGCTTTGAAGAATGAAAGGTGATCTCATTGAAAAATACAAGATTCTGAAGGAATTTGCCATGTCAAACACTGAAAAGATATTACCCCTGCTTAGAATTCAAAACACTGGGACACAATCTCAGGATAAGGGATTGATTATTTAAAACCTAGCCTCCTATGCCAAGGCCTGATGTCCTGTGATGTTTAGTACTAAGGATAAGAGCAACAATATGAAAGGAACATGACTGCTTCGAAGACCACAACCCTTGTCCCCTTTTCTAAGTGCTACACCATTCCTGAATTCGACACACATTATGCTTTTCCTTCTTGGTCACTGTTCAAAATCTTTGGCTATCCTAATTTCACCATAACAGGACAATCATTAAAATCAAGCTTGCCAACACCACCACGTCTAACTAATTAACAGCAGCTTGCCCACATTCCAAAAGATTTTTATGTGGGTTTTCTGTTTGTGAAGAAGAAATACACTATTGAAATGTTGGTAGACATTCAGAATCACAACAATATAGTAACAGTAGAACAAAATGAATATTTCAGATGTAATTTAAACAAAAGATAAGTCATAGATTTCACAAGACTATGGACTCTGAACTGTGCAACAGGTCTGTTTCCAACATTAAGCCTAGGATTGCAGCATTTCATGGAAAAGGCCAAATATCTTTACAGGATAAATGGCAAAAGTCAACAAAATGTGCCCTTACCAGCACCTATACCACTTCTTTATTCTTAAACGTGCTACCAAATTACTGCAACTCCCATTTGTATCTTCTCTAGACCCATTTTGTTTTTGGTTCTTTTCTTGTCCAAAGCCCTTTTGCCATTAATCTGTTGCCTGCCACAAAGCTTCATGTTTATTTTTTCGCTAGCCCCCACCACCCAACATCTCCCTGCCTTTGTACTTGCTTAAAATCAGTTAAATCTTGAACTTGCTTTTAGTTCAACTGAATGGTCATTAACCTGAATTGTTAACAGTTTTTCTATCTTCAAAGATTTTGCCTGTCCCTTTGCATATTTTAAATAATTTTTCTTTTTGATAACAGTGTATTTCTGATCCCTCTGTAGAACAGTATGTTAAAGAAATGATGTCAAATATGTGACCCGAGAGCTACATATGCTCTTGAAGGCTTTCTTCTTCAATGCTGTGCTCCATCTGATTTTTTCATCGTGAAAATGTAAAAAGAACTTTTAGTTCCATTATCCATAATTGACATGTTAATCATAGCATCAAAGTCCATTATTATTGTTTATTGCAGATTTTTTGTAAATTAATAAAAACTTGGTTGAAGAATGAATGCGAAACCCATAACAACAAAAGATAGAACACCCCTATTTAGTGAATGAACTTATCTCAAAGCCAGCAAACAACACCTTCTTTAAAAAAGTTTTCAAGGTTAATAAAGATTTTTAAAAATACTTCAAAAACCTGAAATATACAGAATTATTATTTGAAATGTAATAGTGATTGTTGCATTTTCGAATTTGCTGTAGTTAAACTCTGCTGAAGGGAGGGCCCACACGATGTGCAAAGCTTTACTTCATCTTTAATATGCAGAGTACCAGTTAGTTCTTCTGAACATATAACTGTGCATATTGAATTCTTGATGTGACTTTTCTAAGTCCAGTACGCAGTCACATTTTAGCTACATAAAGCAGATAGCTTTATTGAAATGTGTCCTAAAGCGCTTTGGCAAAGCTATTTAGATTGTATTGCTCAATGTGCATGTATAATAATTACTGTTATTTGAGACACTACAGTACACTTTGTTTTGCAGTTTCCAATCCAAATAACTTGACCTACACCAAATGTAAGCTGTTGATAAATGTATTGTTGCAAAGTCAGATTTAATCTATCTTTATCCAATGCATAACATGTAGATTCCTTAATGCAATGCCTTCAAGTTTGCGAGGTTTTGTGTGCTTAGATCATGAGGTATAACATAACAGTCAGACTGTGAAAGGTCACAGACTGTTTTGGAAGTTATTTCTGTTATAAAATTTATATCTTAAAAACACTCACTTAATATAATTAATAGACAGTGCTAATATTGAAGTAATGATTTGGTATGTCTTTGGATTGTCTTGTTCTATTTAAATACAACTTACTGGTGTATTAATTACAAGAAGTATATACCAGCCAGCAGCAAAACATCAAAATATCTTTAGGACATAATATGACCGAATAATTCATTACTGATTAAAATCCTGATTGAATTATGATCAGCATCATAATTAATGATATTTATCATATCACAATGGTCATTATTTATTGATTTGGACAATACCACAAATTAAGTATTTCATGCAAACTTAAACTTATAGTGCTAATGCAGATAACATCTCTCGGGTCCCATAGTATCACATATATAATATGAGCAGAATAGGCTGTTTGGCCCCTCAAGCTTGTTCCATTGTCCAGTTAGGTCATGGCTGATCTCTACTGCAGCTCTACTTGCATTTCTTTTTCATTTCTCTTGAAACTGTTACCTAACAAAACTCCATTTCTGAAATTTTCAGTTGACCACCACTCCCTCCTCCCAGCACCAATCTCAAAATTAACGCTAATTGTGAAATCAGGAGTCTGCAGAGGTTATCTTTTCCCATTTCTTAGATCCATGCCTGCACAGCAACTAAATTGTAGATTAGGTTTGACAATGCACATCTAGCAGAAAATTATGGCTCAACTTTGTTGATGATTAACCTTGAATAATTTTGAAAAGCTTTTATTTAAAATTCATAAATAATCTTAACACCTGAGCAGAATAACTTGTCTGTCTGAAGAGATTAAGTACTTGACTTCCAATCAACTGACCATCAGTTGCTACAAGGAGCTCGCTGTCTCATTTGGTCAGTCTCTGTCTCTCTAACTTCTGTTCTTTTGCATTCTAGTATTCTGATAAATGCTACTGCGTCTAAATCAGGCCACAATGCAGGCTAAATTGTATAGAAGGAACATGTTTATCTTGGGCACTTACATAGATTTGTTTTTTTTTAATTGCTATACGGCTGTGGTATGTTTGTGCAGTACTTAATGTTACTGGGGGCATGCATTTAAGGTGAGGGGGAAAGTTCAAAAGGAGATGTGAATGGCAAGTTTTTTTACATAGAGATTGCTAGGTGTCTGGAACGTGGTGATGGAGGCAAAAACGATAGGGGTATTGAAGGGGCTTTTAGATAAACACATGAATATGCAAAGAATTCAGGGATATGGACCAAGGGCAGGCAGAAGGGATTAGTTTAATTTGATGTAATGTTCAGCACAACATCCTGGGCCGAAGGGCCCGTTCCTGTGCTGTACTGTTCTACATTCTAAAGATGGTTCAAACCAGATATTCTGAAGTTCAACTTAAATTGAATTGACTTCAAAACTACAGCTTGATGTGGTTCTGTTTTTAAACATATTGTGTTGCTTCTATTGATGTAAACGCAGTTTGGATCAGACCTTATGAAATGTGTTAAGTAAATACACATTCTCTGTTTCTTTAAGACTTATACCTCAATGTTACACCTACATTAATGACTACACTCTCTCCTAGTCAAGGCGTTCCACCTGAAGTATGATGAAATGCGTCTGGATCTAAATGTTCAGAAGTGGGATGTGACTGTACTGGAACTGAGCCACCACAAGCGCCATCTTGACAGAGCTGTTTTGCTACGTTTCTGGGAGACTTTAGACAGGTGAGTAGCTGGTAGGACATCAAGATTCAGAGAGCGTGCCTTATTGCTATAGAGCCAGAGGGTTGTTCAGTGCTGTGACTGGAGAGGGGTGGGGGGTCTGGTGGGACTCGAATTCCACAATAGATTTAGAGTCCCTTAATTTTCTTTCAGAATTCAGTCTGTGTGCAGGAATAAGTATTACCCACCCTTATGTTGAGACTCAAAATAAAAATACACTGTACTTTTGAATGTAGATAACACACTTATGTATTTCAAACATGAATTAAAGAACTTCCCTTATAGTTTACTTTATCATGGTAGAAGCAAGTATTATTTTATAAAGTTAAGATAGAAGATCAGTCATGATTCTGTTGAATGGCAAAGCAGACCTAAAGGCCTGAATGGCCTACTCATTTCTTCCTGTTTCTTATTGCTCCTATTTCTTTTGTTATGTCTTTACTTGGAGCTACAATTTGTACTGGGAACTGACAAGAAAATTTATCCTCCCTTTCTACAGTGCTTTCTTAGAATAGCCACTACTCTGTCTAGCTGTGTACTTGCTCCAGTACTTAATTTACTACTACTTTGCAACTCCTTTACGAGTATAAAAATTGAATGGTAGGTGACAGTCATAATTCCCTGCAGTCTTGGATAACTGAGCTATGTCTTACAGCGGAATTGCTGGTGTTTGCAGTAGCCAGTATTTGCAAGGCTCATATCTGAAGGACTCCTTATCTGTTGGCAATTGAAGGAACCTTGGAAAATGAATTCACTGCCACTATTTAGAAGCATAGTGACATCTTCACAAACTCCTGACAGTCCACAAGTTGGACATGGGCTCAGAAATACAGCTGATTTAAATTATCACAGGCAAAATTGTCCCTAAAAGCCTTGAAATCGTAGTGGAAGTGTGGTCTTCAAAGCAACTCTTGAGGCATTGCTAGCTTGCACTCCACAAGTGCTTCTTAGCATCTTGGTGCTGCAGCAGTATCCCAGTCAAGCTCAGTGTCTGGAGTATTCTTAATTTCAAAAAAATGCAGAGAAAGAAATATAATGCCCCAAGTTCTGACTATGTATCCATTCCATCTCTAAGACCACCTTGTTCTACCATTTACTTTGTCAAACTTTGCCCTACCTCAGGTAATCTTCTGCTGAAGTCCTCATTTGTGCTCTTGTCTTGGAAACTTGACTGTTCGAATACTCTTCTGGCTAATTTCCCACACTCTACCACATAGAAAATTATGAGCTGATCCAAAAATCTGCCATATCCTAACTTATACCAAGTCCCATTTGCTCATTACTCCTGTGCTTGCTCAGCTGCATTATTTTCTGACCTGGCAAGGCTTAAAACTCCAAAATCGTTCTATGGCCTCTCCTCTCTCTATCTCTGTAACTTCTGACAAAGTTCTGAGATCTCTCTGCCACACCAATTCTGACCTCTTTCACAGCCTCAGTTTTAATAATTTCGCCTTTGGCAGTCATGCTTCAGCTGTTAGGGCTCTAATCTCTGGAATTCTATTCCTAATCCAATCCATCTCTCTATCTCAGAGATAGTAGGAACTGCCAATGCTGGAGAATCTGAGATAACAAAGTGTAGAGCTGGATAAACACAGCGGGCCGAGCAGGAAAGCTGACATTTCGGGTCTGGACCCTTCTTCAGAAATAGGGAAGGGGAAGGGGATTCTGAAATAAATAGAGAGAGAGGGGGAGGCGGATGGAAGATGAATAAAGGAGCAGATAGGTGGAGAGGAGACAGACAGGTCAAAGAGGCGGGGATGGAGCCAGTAAAGGTGGGGAGTTTTAGGATTGGGGTTGATCAGTCCAGGGAAGACGGACAGATCAAGGGGGCGGGGATGAGGTTGGTAGGTAGGAGGTGGGGTGGAGCTTGAGGTGGGAGGAGGGGATAGGTGGGAGAAAGGACGGACAGGTTAGGGAGGTGGGGACGAGCTGGGCTGGTTTTGGGATGCAGCCAGGGGAGGGGAGATTTTGAAGCTTGTGAAGTCCATATTGATATCATTGGGCTGCAGGGTTCCCAAGCGAAATATGAGGTGCTGTTCCTGCAACCTTCGTGTGGCATCGTTGCGGCACTGGAGGAGGCCCAGGATGGACATGTCATCCAAGGAGTGGGAGGGGGAGTTGAAGTGGTTCGCAACTGGGAGGTGCAGTTGTTTGTCACAAATTGAGTGTAGGTGTTCCACAAAGCGGTCTCCAAGCCTCCGCTTGGTTTCCCCAATGTAGAGGAGGCAACATCGGGAACAGCGGATACAGTATACCACATTAGCAGATGTGCAGGTGACCATCTGTTTGATGTGGAAGGTTTTCTTGTGGCCTGGGATGGTGGAGAGGTGGGCAGTGTAGGGGCAGGTGTAGTACTTCCTGCGGTTACAAAGAAAAGTGGTGGGCCTGGTGGGGACTGTGGAACGGAAATGGAATCACGGAGTGAGTGATCCCTCCAGGAGGCAGATAAGTGTGGGGAGGCAAAAATGTCTTTGGTAGTGGGGTCAGATTGCAGATGGCGGAAGTGCTGGAGGATGATGCGTTGGATCCGGAGGTTGGTGGGGTGGTACATGAGGACGAGGGAGATTCTGTTTTGGTTGTTATTGCGGGGAGGGGGTATGAGGGATGAGTTGCGGGAAATGCGAGAGACGTGGTCGAGGGCGTTTTCGATCACTGTGGAGGGGAAGTTGCGGTCCTTGAAAAATGAGGACATCTGGGATGTCCGGGAGTGCAATGCCTCATCTCAGGAGCAGATGCGGCGGAGGCGAAGGAATCGGGAATAGGGGATGGCATTTTTGCAGGAAGGTGGGTGAGAGGAGATGTATTCTAGGTAGCTGTGGGAGTCGGTAGGCTTGAAATGGATATCGGTTTCCAGGTGGTTGCCAGAGACGGAAACAGAGGCCCAGGAAGGAGAGAGAGGTATCAGAGATGGTCCAGGTGAACTTTTAAGGTTGGGGTGGAAGGTGTTAGTGAACTGGATGAACTGTTCGAGCTCCTCGTGGGAGCACGAGATGGCGCCGATACAGTCATCGATGTTGCGGATGAAGAAGTAGGGAATAGGGCCAGTGTAGCTTCGGAAGAGGGATTGTTCCACGTATCCTACAAAGAGGCAGGCATAGCTTGGGCCCATGCGGGTACCCATGGCCACCCCCTTTGTCTGTAGGAAGTGGGAGGAATTGGAGGAGAAGTTGTTAAGGGTGAGGACGAGTTCAGCTAAGTGGATAAGGGTGCCAGTGGAGGGGGACTGGTTGGGCCTGTGGGACAGGAAGAGGCGGAGGGCCTTTAGGCCATCTGCATGGGGAATGCAAGTGTATAGGAACTGGACGTCCATGGTAAAGATGAGGTGTTGGGGACCAGGGAATCGGAAGTTTTGGAGGGGGTGGAGGGCGTGGGTGGTGTCACGGGCGTAGGTAGGGAGTTCCTGGACCAAGGGGGAGAAAATGGAGTTGAGATAAATGGAGATGAATTCGGTGGGGCACCTCTCTATCTATCTCCTTTAATGCTCTTTTAAAACCCCAATTTCTTAGACCAAACTTTGGATCATAATATCTCTTTTTGTGTTTTGGTTTATAGTCTGTTTGATCATGTTCTTAAGAGCACTTTGAGTGTTTTATTATGTTAAAAGCATTATGTAGAAATTGTGACAGTTCAGCAGCAGTTTTGCTTAGGCAAGCATATAGACTATGCCAGGACCAATCTGTCACTGGTGGACAGGAAAATCTAGGCCAAAATATCTCTGTAAATCCCCAGATAAGGCAGATGGAGCCTTTATTTCATACCTCATCACTGCTACACTTCTTTAGTATTGATGAATTGACCTAGTGCTTGAGTCTTAGTGTGTTTTGAAACTGCATTTTAAAAAATCCTCTTGTTGATGGACCTTGAAAACCAAGATCAGTCTTAAGAACATTTTATTTGGAGTGTAATCACCTTGAATGTAATACTCAAAATCGGATGTGCAGAGACAATTCATTAGTTGTTGATCTACCCACTAACAAAATAATAATGAAAAGCGTGAGGTGGGCAGGTTGGCTGAATTCTGTCTACAATTTTCCTGATATCTTGCAAGACACTTTGCCAACTGATAATGCTTTCTTCATTACGTGTAAGTTTAGTCAACCTAGATTCTTTCAGTAAAGAAAATTTGATGAAAAATTGTGCAGTATCTTCTTTTTGGTCATCTATCAAATTAATTCATTTCCACGTGCAGTAACCCAGATCCATGATTTATGGGCCCCTCATAAATGGCGAAAATATTTTTTAAAAATGTGTTTTCTTGGTGTGGATGAGTTGGAAGGTGGGATTACAAGGGGTGTGGACATGCCGAGCGTTAAAAAGTTGAAGTGAATATTTTTGAAGTAGAAATTTGCTCACAAAATTAGTGCAAGTAAAACATTAAAATGAGTTAAAATAAAAATAAATATTGTTTCTTATATAACGAGAATTTGGAAAGTATGGTTATCCAAACGGACCTGCCTGTTCTTATTCATGAGTTGCTAAAAGCTAGTATGTAGGTGCAACAATCAATTGGAAAGGCAACTGATTATATAGGCATTCATTTCAAGGAGATTTGAGCACAGAAATAAAGATGTCTTGCTGCTGTTATATAGAACCTTGCCGTAACCTCACATGAAGATTGTGCCCAGTTTTAGTCTCCTTATCTAAGGAAGAACATACTTACCAGAGAGGAAGTACAACTGAGTCTCAACAACCTAATCCCAGGCAGAATTTTCTTATGAGGAGAAATGGAAAAAAACTTGATCTGTATTCTCTGAAGTTTCAAAGAATGAGATGGATGTAGATGGGATGTTTCACCTGACTGGTACATCGAGAAACTGGAGACATAATCTCAGAATAAGGTGCTTAATACATTTAAGACTGAGATAAGGAGGAATTTTTTCGCTGAGGGTGGTGAATCTTTGGAATCCATCATCCCAGCGAGCGCTGGATGCTCCAGCCATTGAGCATGTTCAAGACAGAAATCGATAGGTTTCTGAAGACTATATAACTTTAAGGCATATGGAGATAGTGTGGGGCATTAAGAAGATATCAGCTAGAATGGCGGGCAGGACCACTGGTCTTAATGGCCTCCTCCTGTTCTTGTGTTCCTAGTAAGGATTCTCAGGAATTTGTTTTTCTCCTTGTGGGATTGAAACTAGAATGAGGTAGAAGTTTGTTTATATTGTGTTAGAGTGAGCTGTGAAATAAATTAAAGCACAATAAGTATGTACATTCACACTTTCAACGAAGGCTGTTTGTGTTTAAGATGATTGATTGTAGATGTATAATTTTCAAAATTTGTGTGGCAGCTTTTTTTCAAGTACCAGTGACCCAGGTTCGATTTACAGCCTTGGGTGACTGAGTGGAGTTTACATTTTCTCCCTGTGTTTGTGTGGGTTTCCTGTAGGTGCCCCGGTTTCCTCCTCCAGCCCAAAGATGTGCAGGTTAGGTGGACTGGCCATGCTAAATTGCCCATAGGGACCAGGGATATGTAGGCTTGGTGAATTAGCCATGGGATACACAAGGATTGGATAGAAGAGTGGGTCTTCAGAGGATTGGTGTGGACTTGATGGGCTGAATGGCCTGTTTCCACACTTTAGGGATTCTGTTCTGAGATTCGAGGTTTTGTATATTCTTTTTGATATTTGATCCATTGAAATGAATGTACATCAGAAAATTGAGGATGAACCCAATTTCTAAAGATGTCTTACATTTTTAGGAATGAATACACAAATTTTTCACTTGTCAAGATCAATTTTAATACTTTGTGCACAAAAGATTATTAAAATATAAAGATAAGTATAGTTTGTTAATGTAACTGGTATACAGCCATCAATTATGTCTTTATTATGTCGCTTTTAGTTTTTAAATGTAGGATTTATGGGCTTCACAAAATCATAACTTGTTCACTTGAAATGTTTTGGGATGCTTGGCTAGACATCAAAGTAGAGAACTACTGCGGTACCTCATTTATTAGTTAAATTCTGATGGTAGTCTTTTAATTTGTTTTATTCCATGGCATATTTAACAACTGATACTTTTCTTTTATTCACTTTCACACTTAATTGTTCAAAAAGATACAAGAATGCTGTGAGTTTTCACAGCTGATTTTTATGTGTTGTAATTACAAGTCATGAGCTGAGTCTTTTGTGATAAGGCTGATGCATTCACACACGCTGCCTGTTGGTTTCCTTATCTCTTCAACTCCATTTCTGCAGGTGCAATCCATTGTGCTACTGCAGAAGGTTGTATAATATATTTTGAATGCATGTCATTGCCCAAATTCAGCCGTTGCTGCTGTACAATAAAACATTCAGCTCGGACCTCAAGGACATGTTAATATGTAAAGAAAACTGCAGTGTGCCATCGTTTATCTCTAAAGGTCATGTCCGTTTCATGGGGGAGAAATCACGATTGTCAACGTTAACTTCTTTCACTTGATTCCTTGGAGCCGTTTTTTATTGTTGCAACCACAAAGATCTTGCAATGAGTTTTTGTAACTTCAGTAACTTCGGTTGTGACTGAGTTTTGTTTTCTTTTAACACAACAGGTACATGGTGAAGCACAAGTCCCATTTGAGATTCTAAGTTGTCTGAAACTCTGTGGTTGCTGCCATTCATTTCTGGGAGATTGGAGGAAATCTACAAGAGCCACATATATCTTGGGACTAAACTGTTTCACTGACATCTCTACGTTTGTCAAGAGCAGTGACAGTACAGTATGAGTGAACTTGACATGTCTCATATGCGATACTTGTTGGAAAACTTCTATTGCATTGGGGAATTGATGTCTGCAACAATTAGACATAAACAATGTGCTTATACTACCAGTTTTCCAATGGTAGATTGACTTCTAGTCTGCAAACTCAAATTTGTATTTTATTCTATAGTGAGTGTTTATATTTCATTTTTATTTTTCAGGCAGCGCTTTTTGTTTATTTTAGTCCATTCTTTCTCTTTTCCAGCTTTTCCTTTTACAATTGTTAGTGTAAGCCGCAAATTGTATAGCATCACTGCTGTGGGATAGGGATTTCTTCAAACCGTTCTCAGGTAGAATAAGTGATAAGACAGCCATAGATGACATAGGTTCACTGTTTTTCTTTTTGTAAAATATGACAAAATTATACATTGAAGTGCAGCTGCCTTGAGCTGTGATGGGGCTTGAACAATCACTTGAGTATTGTTAAGAATTTGGGCAGTGAGAGAAAGAAAAAACCTAAAAGGTCCATTATTCCTATTATGAAAAAATTAATTGGAAGCCCTGAACTTTACAGCATTGACTGAAAGGTAAGTAATAATGGTTTGTAACTTTGAAACCTATCATATGTACTTAGCTTTCTAAGCACGAATGTGAAAAGCTGATGGTGTACTTGCAAGTTCTGTACTTCAAACTTCTTAAAGTCCATCTAGTGCCGACATACAAATGATTAAGAATCCACTTATGCTGCTTGCTGACATGAGATAAATATATTACATAAAATACCAGTTTGTTGCTGTTTTCATTACACTTCCATCAGTGTGTTGAAAGAATTCACATTTATTTCACTCTTCTTTAGGGGAAAAAAAGGAAGGGTTTTTGTTTGAGGGCACAATCATCATTCATTCAGCCTCAGAAATGCAAGCAGTACCAGTAAAACTTTGATAGTGTTGACAGCAATGAGCATTTTTAACTTAATGACTAGGATAGTGCTTACAAAGTTTAAAAAGCAAAGTTTGTCTCATGGTGATGCATAGAAGGAATCATACTGATGCAATATATTTATTTAAATAGTGATCATAAATAATAATTAAAAACTGATACAGAAAATTAATAGTTGAGCTGGAAAGTTGCATGAGGGAAAATGTAAGTGATGCTCACCACAGCATAGGATAGTGCCAAAATGAACAATTCAGTCAATTTTCCTAACATTCAGTATCTTAAGATTTTAAAAAAACAGATTGAGCACAACATCTGATTTAGTAAAAAATATCTGTTTGAAGCTGTTTACAGTAGCCCAGGGACAAAACCTCACCCAGGGTTTGGTTTTTTTTTGTCCTGCTGTCTGGTTTGAACTGGAAAGTAGTTTTATACATTTGATCCTACAACATATTCACAAGTAGAGCTCCTTTAGGTGGATGAAACTCAATCAAATAGATGGAATTCTTGTTTTTACCTGCTGTGTTAGATAACCAGAAATAAAAGGTAATGATGCTGAAACCTGAAAAAAATGACTTCACGCAGTATAAACAACATTGAGTATTGTGCTCTAAAACCTGAAAATGTGTAACAGTATCCAAGATCAAATGTCAATTGTGATAGTTTGGAGAACAATGCATAAGACTGAATAACCATTACGTCAACGATGCTTTCTTTTCAGTGAAGCTTGTAAAGACTGAATGTTCTACTTCTCTTGTCTACTACAAAATAGATAAAAACATATCCTGTCTTCATAGGTGGAAGGAAAAACATAATTCCTGTCCAAGCTATTCGATTCTCAAAAATAGTCTAAATTAAACATTAAAGTTGTTCATTTACATTGAAATTTGAAAGCAGCCATGATGTAGCAAGTTGGAAACAAAACAAATTAAGAACAGAGTTGAATAACTATGTTCGTTTCAGCATTAGATTTCCCACTATAATGCCCTCAATTTAGTCACAGTGAATGATCCATTGTCATTTGGGTTAGCAATTGTACAAGCTTCTTGAAAAACTGATGCAACGGTTGCTGAGTCTGGTGGATTCAGAAAAGAATTCACAGCAGTACAGGGAAGGTGTCTCTGCTGTGCACAACCCTGAAGAATAAATAAGTTGCATGCTTTCTGGCATCATTACTTTGAGTTATTTTCAGTATCTCACCAGTCTCAATATGCTAATTCACTTTGTGCTTCATGAAATATTTACCAGTATAGATGCAACTTTAAGTCTACAATTTCACTTTTAAAATTATTGACAATTTCATCACACCATTATTCAAGGTTATTTGATATCAACATTGCTTTCATATTGTAAGATGGCCAACTGAAAATAACATACAAAATCTCTTAAATCACACATCTTATGAATTAAAGTTGGTCTATGTCTTCACTGTTATCGTCAATGTTCATTGTAACATCTAAACCTGCGTAGTTGCTGTTTATTCAGCAGGAAAAGGGTTGATGTCTGCCTTTCTGTAGTGTCCACCAAAAAATTATGTAATTGCGTTGGGGGGGTGTGGGGCTGGTGGGTGTGGATGTGGGTGGGCTGTGTGTGTGTGTGTGTGTGTGTTCGTGTTCATTCTTTAATGTAGCTGCTGTAATGATTTAGTTAAATTAAACTCTTTGAATCTTGTTATTATTAATGTCAACAATATTAATCTGTTTGCTTTCAACTGTCTCACACAATAATTCAAGTAATGTGAAGTCATGCAACATCAGGCGGAAAGATGAGCAGCTCCTGCTTGTTGGTGGCACATTGTCTCCTTTCCCTGTTTTCAAATTCAAAAAAAATTGTATTTTTTGCTTTATTTTGTAGTGAGAGATATACAACAAAAGGCTCTATTTTCGCAAGTAGGGTTTTTTGTACCAAATGTTACAGATGAGAAACAAACTGTAGCTTTTACAGAAGTGCATAAAACTGCAAATTGTTGATGCTTTATGCGGGTTTCTAAAATACCACCCATTAAAATAGATTTATCAGTTAGTTTATCGTTAAAACTTTAACAAGGTCACATTTGTGTTTTTGTGGCTAATCATAAATGGAGCCAGAAGCGCAAATTTAACATGATCACAAATTAGAATAAACTAGAAAACATATGCACCCTTTGGGTAAGGGAAGGTTTTAAAATAAATTGATTTTTATTATATGACAAATAAAATGATGTACGATTAAAGTGTTTTCCATTTTGCACTTCATTTGTGTAATTTCAATGACATAATTATAGTGTTTTGCCGCAATATAGTATTTCTCTTTAATGCCTGTCTTTAGAAATGTAGAAGGATTTATCTAATCACAAGTTCTCCTTTTTATGTTTCTCTGCATTGCTTAAAATAGCACCATGATATTGCAATTATAGATAGAATCCCTACAGTGTGGAAACAGGCCCTTTGGCCCAACAAGTCCACACGGACCCTCAGAGCTTCCCACCCAGATCCATCCCTCTACAATCCACCTAATCTACACATCCCTGGACACAAGGGCACTATGGACAGCATGGCCAATCTGCCTAGTGTGCACAACTTTGGACTGTGGGAGGAAACCGGAACACTCAGAGGAAACCCACGCAGACACGGGGAGAATGTGCAAACTCCACACAGACAGTCGCCTGAGGGTGGAATATAATCCGGGTCCCTGGCGCTGTGAAGCAGCAGGCTAACAACTGTGCTGCCCCGTGCGTGGTGTTTAATGAAGTGTTGCATGAGTATAATTTGTTAGATGCTGGAAATGGGCTGCATAGTAGGGCATAACTTGTAGACATATTAGAATAACACAATGACATAACCAATTGCATGGAATATTGAAGAAATAATGCTGTTGGGATAAAAATGTTGGTTCTGTTGTACCAGTGCTGCATCCAGTGCTCCTGAAGATTTTCAAGTGAAGTGCACAGCTGATGCCTGCACCCCATTGTAAGGAAAGGTTTCAGTTTGCCATGCATGTGCTGAGAGTATGATTATGATGTTTAACAGCTGTTCAGGCTGATTTGGATTATGTGGTTCTATGTAAAGTCTTTGTTTATGACTAACCAGAAAGCCAGCACTCCCTGTATACCGTGCCCCTGAAATCATCTGAATTCTGTCATAGAACTGGAATGTAATCTCACCTGTTGAGCTGGCACATGGTTTATCCTTTACCAGTGGCCTGACCACAGCCCACTCATGCTGGAAACTTACTACCTGCTGATCCCAACTATTTACTAGCTTCTCAGGTGTATTTAATCCAAATATCTAAACTGGCAGCTGGAATTACCAGATCCAGTGATGGGGCCTGTTCCTCAGTGTAATGTTGATACTCTCTTTCCATCTCCTGGGTTGGAAAGCCAGGAATGGATGTCACACCATCAGATTGACCTGTACAAGAGATGGTAGGATAGGATAAGAGTGAGCTGGGAATTGAGAAATGGTATGATAATGGAACACAATATAGTATAATTCCTTCAGCAATGCCAGATACCATGGGTTCCACTTCAGTCATCCCGTCATCCCGTGATGTGGAGATCTGTCTCTTCCTTGGAGTTTTTAAAACAGTGGGAACCGAGTGAGATTGCTGTCATTGGAAGATCTATGAGGGTAAGGTACAGTATTAGGCGTAAGTCTTCCCTAACAGGATTGGGATTGATGAATAATGTGTGATCCATTGAGCAGCATGAGAAGTAGGTGATGCAGTTGGTCCAAGCATCACTGACCTTGGTGTCCACATGCAGTTATTAAACTTTGCCAGATCCTTGTGACTTGACTTGAGCATTGCCCTCCCTGCTGTCATTTTCTTCAGAGGATGTTCAAGTCTACCCCCACCCAAGTGCACACTGTTATGGACCAGACCAAACCCCCCCAGAATATATTAAGAAGATAGTTTAGACCCTAACTTTTCCTTATTTTAAAGGTAAGTGTAATGCATTGTGTTCCCGAAGCAACTCGATTGGTCAAACTACCAGGCTGGAAGCAAAACACGCTTTATTCATACTCTATACTTAGAAAACAACAACATAAAGAATTGGAACAGCTTAACACTGTTGGAAAACTTAACAGAATAATGGATTATTTAACTACTAAACAGTAACCCCGTTCCAATATAGTATCATCCCATAAACATACCCTTGGCAAAGGCAAATTGAGTAAAATAGATTGTCTCACATGCAATTCTAGCAGCAAGAAGAGAATCCTAGCTTTTAGCTGTAACAGAGAGAGGAATAAGAGCTTCCACACCCAGCTTCAAGACCCCAGCAACTGCTGTTGAAGGCCAAAAGTACAAAAAATCCTTTGTTCTGTTTGAGCTTGACCCCACCTGTTCAGGCTGCTTCTATTGTTCCAACTTTTAAGAAAAACACAACCTCACAAGTTGTTTGCTATATTGGCTTTGGAGCATGCTGCTCTACACCTCTGTCTCAACGTTTCTTAATTTTAAAAAAGGACAAAATGTACCTCTTACAGGTATATAATCAAAACACACATACGCAAAAAGTTGACCTGTACTCCTCCCTGCTCATAACTAAGCCTTTTAGTACCAAACCAGGGAGCATAAGAATCCTAGACAACAAGGTGCAGGGCTGGATGAACACAGCAGGCCAAGCAGCATCATAGGAGCAGAGAGGCTGACGTTTCGGGCCTAGACCCAGCATAAGAATCCTATCTCTTTCCTGGTAGTCTGTGCAGATCCTACATAACAGTGCTTCCAAAGGCAATTCCTTCAACTGAATGCAACTAGGCACCTTGCAGCACAGGTCCTACTTGGACCAATGTTGTAGTTGGGTAAATAACGCTATATTAAGTTTAACGCTGCCTGCACTAGTGTGAATGAGCAGGTCACAAAC